CCAAAGTGACACTAACTTTAATGCAAGCTGCTGATGTCATTAAAATGCATTTGATAGCCGATTGTGTAGTTTGTGCAGTTTTCGAAAAATTTTTTGTTGGTTTGGCATAATGACGGTAAACAAACTCAATTTAAGCGTCACATAAATTCAAATATATATACTACTAAACTAATGTTCCTGTCGTAAATCTCATATATTAGCTTCGTTTGAAACCTTCACTTCAAGAAATCCAAGATATTGTAGCCGCTAAAAAGGGAAATACTATTCCAGTTTATGCACAAATTCCCGCAGACTTACTTACACCAGTAAGCGCATATTTGCGCATATCACAAAATAGTGAATATTCTTTCCTATTAGAGTCAGTGGCAGGTGGTGAAAGGATTGGACGATACTCGTTTCTTGGAGCTGGTACATATCAAAGAACAAATGCGTGACAATTTAATGTTATGTATCCGCTGAAATATTGTTCTTGTGATTTAAGATAATTGAATATTTTATTAAACGAAATAAGAACCATATAAGATTCTGAAAACTGGAGATAATGAAGAAATACAAGGAGATCCGTTAATAGCTTTGGAAAAGGAATTAGAGTCGATTAAATTTGTTTCCGTGCCAGGGATTCCTGCCTTCACTGGTAATTAAACATTCATAAATCAAATATTATGATTAATTTGTCAAAATATTAAATAAATTTTTAATTTGAAAGGTGGTGCTATTGGATACATTGCATATGATTGTGTAAAGTATTTTGAATCTCGTACTGCACGCGATTTACTAGATCCGCTTGGTCTGCCAGATTCAGTTTTCCTATTTTGCGACACTATTGTTATTTTTGATCATCTTTACCAAATTTTAAATGTTGTCTCCCATTATCGGAGTGATTCAACAAATCCCCAAGACATTGAAAGGGAATATAAAAAAACTATGGGAAAGATCGACGCAGTTATGACTCTACTTAATTCCGAAACAACACCTAAAATTCCGCAGGGTGAAATTCGACTTAATCAAAATTCTGTCTCTAATGTTGGTAAAAAAGGTTATGAAGAATTTGTAACAAAGCTAAAACATCATATCAAGAAAGGTGATATAATTCAAGCCGTCCCTTCACAAAGACTTGCACGACCCACGACATTACACCCGTTCAATATATATCGTCACTTGCGCACTGTCAATCCTTCCCCTTATATGTTTTATATCAATTTAAATGACATCAAAATTGTTGGTGCATCACCCGAGCTACTTGTCAAAGTCGATGAAGACGGAACTGTGACTAATCATCCAATCGCAGGTACGCGTAGACGAGGCAACACAAAACAAGGTAATTGATTAATTGATTACTTAATCGTTTTTCGTATTATCGTTCAAATTGAAGATTTTAATATTGAAATTATACGGATGATAGATGATCAAAGACTTGCCGAGGATTTACTTAATGATCCGAAGGAACGAGCCGAGCACATTATGCTTGTTGATCTTGGACGGAATGATATAAATCGGGTTTGCCGACCTGAGACTGTTAAGGTTGATTCTCTCATGCACATTGAAAGATATAGTCATGTTATGCATATTGTTAGCCAGGTTTCTGGTAAGCTTCGAGAAGGCAAAACGAGGTATGTATTTTTGTATTTTTAATCAATGTCGAGACAATCGATCAAATTTTGTTTAGCATATTAAATTTGTATATACGAAATAAGGTTCGACGCGTTTCGCTCTATTTTTCCAGCTGGTACAGTTTCTGGTGCACCAAAAGTTCGAGCAATGGAGCTTATTGCTGAATTGGAACAGGAAAAACGTGGTATTTACGCAGGCGCTGTTGGTCATTTTGATTTTGCAAATTCGATCGACACATGTATTGCGATACGCACAATGGTTTTTAAAGATGGTGTTGCTTATCTTCAAGCAGGTAAACTTCATGATATACATACATATAAAAAAATTTCACTATAATAATTAATAAATTATCTACAATTAGGTGGTGGAATAGTCTATGATAGTGTAGAAGAGGATGAATTTCAGGAAACGATTAACAAATTGAAGTCGAATATTACGTGCATTGATAAAGCCGAGGAATATTATCACAGATTGCACACGCAAATGCTATAATTAATAATATAAATCTTTTATTTGTTTGGTAAATAGAATTATAATTATTCAATTTTGGTAAAAATATAATAATTATTAAATTAATAATACCCATACAAAAGTTTAAATTTGACTATTATATTGATTCATCGTAAATAATTACATTTTAAATAGTCGAGCATTTTAGATGTATCACCTTTATTATATGCTATTAATTTATTCCGTATCACCAACTTCCGAACCTGAATCCTCATCTCCAGAAACTTCTTCATTTTCTTTCTCAACACGGGCCATCAATGCAGCCAATTCGAGCTCATCTGTTTCACTAACAGCTTTTGGCTAATTAATAAAAAGATATTAACGAAAATAGTTATTAATAGAATTTTATGAATCGTTCATTCATTACATACCTTCATCTTGATCGTCAGGTTACCACCAGATTTTACGATGACCTCTTGAATCGTATTAACAGCCTTTTCCAGTGTTTCAATGCCTAAACTCTTGTCAAGGGCGTTGGTAAGCATAACATATAATGGGGGTGCCACTAACTTTACCTATTAAGATAAACATATACAATTAGGAAAATATTGTTTATGTCAATTTGAAGAGTATATTTAATCTTACTTTTATTTGAATGTCTTTTGTTTCACAGGCTTCTCCAGCTTTTAAAGCTGTTTTGATAGCATCTATGCCCTCATATCCAAAGCATGTAACTTCAATATCTAAAAAAGAAAGGGAGGGAAAATTTTTGATTATTCAATTAGAAAAATTATTATAGTTAATGAATACTAAAAATTTATTTGACTTTACCAGCTCGTATTTTTATAGGTTGTGGGGTTAATCGTCGTTTAATGTTGTTTAGCAATTCGAACATAATCTCTGGTGTGATTTCTAGACCCTCAAAAACTAATTCTGGTTCACTTATAACAAAAGCGAAGGTTAACAGATCTAAATCAAAAATACTAGTATGAATTGATGAAAACGAATCGGATCAATTACGTAATTGCCAATTTAAAGGCTTCATATGCATGTCCGTATTTTTTATATAATGGCCATGCAATTGCTTTATATAGATCCTCAAGAACTGCCTCTTGTTTTTCCGCGACATGACGCATTATACTATGTACCTATTATAATAGTATTAAGATTGAAATTAAGTTTTAACGATGATAAAATTACAGTTATATTAATATATTAATTTCAAAAAAAAATTGTAATTTACTGCTTTAGATTTGTTATATTTCTCTTCAGCTTTTGCCACATCCTCCGGCGAAACTCGACGTTTCGAAAGATCAATATAACCTACGTAAAGTAAAGGAGATCAGTCATATATTAATCTATTTAATTGATCATAGATTAGTTGAGAAATATACAGAAATACACACCTTTCTCTTTGTCAACTCTCAACACAACTACTACTTCGTTCCTACCTACTCTTATTAACTTTTGTATACTACGAATACGTCGTCGTGATAGCTCGGATAACAAAATCATTCCTTCAATATTATCGTACTCCAACTAGGAATGAAAGAATGCAAATTAATTGTGAAATTTATGTTCAAAAAGACTAATTTTCCAAGCAAAATACCAATTTGACATAAGCTCCCATTTCGGCGATCTGGCGAACGTTAACCATCACCAGATCGTCCACCTCAGGATACTTCTCCTCGTACATTCGGCACTGAAATTGTTGCGAATTCGACATCTTGTAGTTGAATTAGTAACCAAATAGCATAGAACCGCTAATAGGTGTTCCAAACGGAAAATACGTTGTTTTAATTTATAGAATCGTGCAAATTTCGTTATTATATTTATGCGATAATACATGAGTCATTTCGAGTAATAATGTCATTATTTGTATTTGTTTAAATTTAAGTCAATAAAATTCAGTCTACTTTTGGAATTGTGATCTAATTTAAAAAATCTAAAAAATATTACTATTATACTAAAAAAATTACTTTTGTTCGATTGTTTATGAACTTTTGTCTCTTCGACCGCTTACTCGCTTTTTAGCGCCACGACGCCTTTTTTTTCCCGACTCAAAACCTGTTGCTTGTTCTAAAGTACGTCCGATATTATCTGGATCTTTAACTTTAAAAATTCTCACAATCCAATTCTCAGTTGTATAAGCTTCTTCTAATGTATGCATCTTGATTTTTCCTGGGGATAATTTGACGCCACGTACCCGATCTACACCTTGGCCACCAAAAAGTTCATTATAATTGTAATAACTCATTTTATACATTATACTATTTCGCATAGTTGGTGTAGCTTCATCACCAACTCGGTACTCCCCACGCTCATTAAAGAAATTCCTCTCTTTCACTTCATCCGGATATACTCCTTCTGCTATTCGAATCATCCAAAGAAATTTATTAATATCGTCACCTGAATATCCCAACAAACCACCAAATATAATCAACACATAATCAACATCGTGTCGACGCAAGATTTCATATGCAACATTTTCATTAGATGCTAGAGCTCTGCCAACGGTAGCGATATGAGTATTATTCCACGTATTGTTATCTACTAACACCGTTCGATCTGCCATTCCTGCGATTTGATATCCATAATCCCACCACGATAGAATCTTTGCCGAATAATCAGTGTTCTTTCTAAGCCAATAATAAGCTTCTCGAAAATCATCAATAATATAATTTGATCCGTCAGCTGCACGAGATGCAAGAACAATGGACGGCGAGGAATAAGCTGTCGAGGTGACCCATGTACAATGCCATGTGAATATCCATAAAAAGAATAAGAAATTCATTCCAACTATCATTCGGGTATCAATTCCCAGTATTCCATAATATTCTTTCTTTTTCTTTTTATCGAGTGTTTTGCTTGTGTTCTGAGGTCCTTTTTTTGTCTTCTCAGAGCTGTTCTTTTTACCGAGCTTTTCAGTAACTTTACTGTCAGAAATCGGTTCTTGTTCTTCGGGAGAGGATTCAAGTGCCGACACATCAAGATATGTATCCAACAGCCAAGAGAGAGCAACTGCAGATGATACGCAGACTATCGGCGTTAATGTTAACATAAGTCGAACCATTACGCCAGCAAAATATGAGGCTGTGATTCCATACAAAACCACAAAAACATGTTCATCACGAAGTTCTCGGAAACATAAATAAACTCCAGAGGGGAATAAAAATATCAGCATCTCGAGATCGAAGAAAAAAGAAGGCCAAGCAGTCGGTTGATGCTCGGAAACTGATGCGATAATTGGAATGTATTTCTTGGCGTATCCAGTATCCCATAATGAATAAAAACGACCAGTCCAAGGGGCAATATATCCAAAATAAGTCAAGAAGACCAATGCAGAGAACATTGCAACAAATGACACGACAATAAACCCTCTGAAAAGAATTTGGAATTGAGTTGTCGACAAATGAGTTCTAACAAGTTCCACAAAGGCAATAATTTGCAATAAACCAAATATCCCTAATTTAATTACCTAATGATTAATTGTTATATATAACAAAAAATTTACAAATAATAATATATTATTACTTACCCAATGCGGCCATGTGTTCACTTGTACGCGTAGGCATGAAACCGACAAATGGTACTTGCATAGACATAAGTGTCCCGAGCACATAAAATGATGAATATGAAACGTAAAGACGGCTCGAAAATCGCCCCATTAATATTAAGGCAAACGCGTGAAGAGGTATTAAATTAATGATAAAAACATAACCACCTAATAATATATTTATATAAGATCAAAATATATGCAAACAAATATATATCGAGATGCAAAGTTAAAGAAATAAGCCTTACCCCAAGCAGCAACCATGTAAAAATAAAATAACGCGGTCCATGCACCCCAAAATGCAGATCCAAGCTTCAATGCTTTAATCCACAAATAAAACGTAAAAACTAACAGAAAGATCGCAATCCCTTCATTATCATAAGATCCTGCAACTGACCGAGAAATATAACCAGGTGCAACTCCGATAAAAGCAGCCGCTAATAACCCAGCGGAAGAATCTTTAATTTCTACTGTTAACAAGTAAGCGGCGATAGCAGTGAACGCGGAAAACAATGGAGCTAATAACACACATATATTCCTAATGTCTACTGGAAAATTTAGTGCATGTAATATATTATGAATTACAGCTGACGTGACCATTATCCCAGGATATACAGTTCCTCCAACCACCCGACCCAACGGGTACCATGACCTCTCATCGAACCAATTCCAAAAGTCGTAAAACCCGTTGGAGACCAGGTGTCGCGTGGTCCGATAATTAAACCAAGGGTCAAACTCGTGAATTACACTTTCATAGCGTACGATACTAAATAGACGACTTCCTATGGCGACAGCAGCGATGAGACCGAGAATAACCACCTTTAACAACGCTGCTTGATTTTGTGCATCTAGACCAAGTACCATTTGTGCTATTAAAAAAAAATTAAGTGTTTAAATTCGGGGAAAAGAAGAATGCTGTTTATCGTTATGCATTAATTATTGGTTTTCCAATTTGACCATACAAAAATTGACACGTCTCGGTCGACTTATTTTTAGTCGGAATTTTGTTGGTTTAAATAGAAATCGTCCTCTAATCCAGTAGCACAAACAAACACATGATCTCCGACCCTGTTGCACGGTTGGTAAACAATGCAATATTAATAATTGTGACAGATTAAAATGAAATCGGATTAAAATGAAATTTTCTCTATTTTAATATGAAAATTTCGTATTTT